AAAAAAAAAAAAGAAGAAGATCTCAAGACTGAAACTGAATGCTGGCTCATTCAGTGCTAGGGTACCTAATGTCGATACCCTGCACGGAGGGCCAGTCACTCTGATGGCACAGGGTTGTCCTTAGGCAGCCCTGTGATAACAAATCCCACAAGTGAATGGCTACAACAAAGAGATGCATTTTCTCACAGCTTAGGAGACTAGACATTCACATTGAGAGCCCCAGCTCCAGAGGAGGCCTGTCTCTCTCTGCCTGCTCTGTAGGTAGATCCTCTCTGCTTTCCCAGTTCCTTGAGGAGCTCCGTGTGCCTGGGTAGATCTCTTGCCCCAGCTCGATGCCTAGCTTGTGTTTAATTTCTTTTATATCAGGAGATATTGATTCAAAACACACCCTGGACGAATCCTGTTTCATTAACATAAGGCAACCCATTCCCTGATGTGATGATAACTGCAGGAATTAGGAATTGGGGCACATAACTGAGGGAGGGGGGCACAATTCAATCCGTAACTTTCTTTCCTTTGCTTTGCATCCCCCCCCACTGAATCCATGTCCTTCCCACATGCAAAACATACTATCTATATTCAAGTATAAGCCGACATGAATATCAGCCGAGGCACCTAATTTTTTTTCTCTTTTAAATCATTTTAATGGGGGCTCGTACAACTCTTATCACAATCCATGTATACATCCACCGTGTCAAGCACATTTGTACATTTGTTGCCATCATCATTCTCAAAACATTTTCTTTCTACTTGAGCCCTTAGAATCAGCTCCTCACTTTTTCCCCTTCCTCCCCAAACCCCTCCCTCACAAACCCTTGAAAATTTATAATTATTATTTTGTCATGTCTTACAGTATCCGACATCTCCCTTCATCCACTTTTTTGTTATCTGTCCCCTAGGGCGGGGATTATATGTAGTTCCTTGTGATCGGTTCCCCCTTTCTACCCCACCTTCCCCTTACCCTCCTGGTATCGCTATTCTCATTATTGGTCCTGAGGGGTTTATCTGTCCTGGATTCCCTGTGTTTCCAGCTCTTTTCTATACCAGTGTACATCCTCTGGTCTAACCTGATTTGTTAGGTAGAATGAGGATCATGATAGTGGGGGCGGGGAAGAAGCATTAAAGAACTAGAGGAAAGTTTTATGTTTCATCGGTGCTACACTGCACCCTGACTGGCTGGTCTCCTCCCCGTGACCCTTCTGTAAGGGGATGTCCAGTTGCCTACAGATGGGCTTTGGGTCTACACTCTGCACTCCCCCTCATTCACAATGATATGATTTTTTGTTTTTTGATGCCTCATACCTGATCCCATTGACACCCCGTGATCACACAGGCTGGTGTGCTTCTTCCATATGAGCTTTGTTGCTTCTTAGCTAGATGGCTGCTTGTTTATCTTCAAGTCTGTAAGACCCCACATGCTATATATTTTGATAGCCAGGCACCATCAGCTTTCTTCACCACATTTGCTTATGTATCCTCTTTGTCTTCAGTGATTGAGTCTGGAAGGTGAGCATCATAGAATGCCAGTTTAATAGAACAAAGTGTTCTTGCATTGAGGGAGTACTTGAGTGGAGGCTCAATGTCCATTTGCTACCTTAATACTAAACCTATAAATATATACACATATTGACAAAACAATAACTTATGAGTTATAAGGATTCATGATGGAAAGGGGAGTGGGGAGGGAGGGGGAAATGAGGAGCTGGTATCAAGGGCTCAAGTAGAAGGCAAATGTTTTGAGAATGATGATGGCAACAAATGTATAAATGTGCTTGACACAATGGATGTATGTGTAGATTGTGATAAGAATTGAATGAGCCCCCAACAAAATTATTTTTTTTAAACAGAAAAAAAATGCACATAGATCTATTTCATTGTCACATATAAATATATTTACATATGTATATGCCTGTATTTAGACCGAGGCACCTAATTTTACCACAAAAAACATAAAATTGTGCTGAAAAACTCAGTTTATACATGAGTCTATACTATATATACTCCATCACCATCTCCTAAAAGTCTTCAGCCAACTCCAAATGCAACACCTCATTGTCTGGATCATCTAATGACATATGGGTGCCACCTCAGGAGTCTTCCACCCTAGGGCAAAATTCTTCTTCATCTGTGAACTCGAGACATTTGGATCACAAATGATGGTTCCTAATGTCTAATGATGGAGCCTGGGGCAAGGTAGCCATTTCCACTACAAATGGGGGAAAGTGGGGATGGGGAAGAAGGGATAATGAGCATCAAGCAAGTCCAAACCCCAGCAGAACCACTTAAGCTAGTCCTCAAAGCTGAGACCATCTAGCCAATGGCCTTGCCCTCTAGACACTGGGTGTTGACCACACCGTCTTGATTCTGGGTGGAGGCCCTTGCTGCTCTGGGCTTCAACTGTGCCTCCCAGGCCTACTAGCTAGCAGCTCTGTTCCCTCAGCTGGGGGAGGTCCTACCCCTTGGACCCTGACAGACCCTGTTCTTCTGCCTTTTGGGCAGAGCAGCTCTGCCCCCCTTCAGCTAGGAGTGGTGACCCCATCCCTTTGGCACCCTTTAACAGCAGACCCAGACTCTGGAACCAAGCGGCAAAGATCCAGCCCTGGGAGGCTGTGGCCTCCCCATTTTAGATCCCGGACCCTATGGGCCCGCCCACGGAAGCCAAGAAGGCCTTCTGGTTCCTTCCAACAGTCGTGCTGATCTCCGAGCTACTCCAAGGATGCTCCTTTTCTTTTCCTAGAGGACAACAGATATTGCTTCTTCAGCCTGTTTCCTGCCCATAGAATTCCAAGAGGCAGATGTCACCCTTCGTCTGTCTGCTGCTGTCTAAGCTGATGGGCTCTCCAAGTTCATCACTTAGAAGCTCTACCTTCTGCCAAACATTTCAACCTCACTCGGACAGGCTCTGCTTCCCCACTGCATGAGAGCATCGCCCTTAGTCCATGTCCCAGGCACGTGTTTGTTCCTCATTCTCTTTTAAAGTCTCACCAGCACATGTAAGGGCCACAATTCTAGTCACAGTCTATGGCTGGTGCCATATGTCTTCTCTACGATGATCGAGACTTTGTCTATAGCTCCCCTCTCTTCTTTCTGAGCCCTCGCCTGAATTGTCTTTGATGCCCATCATTCCACCAATCTCTCCTCGAGGCAGTCTAAGCTTTTATTATTGTTAGATTTCCTGGAGTTGGTTCTGACTCATAATGATCATGTGTACAAAAGAACAAAATCGTTCCTTTGTTGGAGCCTCTTGTTGAAGCCACTGTGTCAGTCCATCTCAGTGAGGATTTCCCTCTTTTTCATGGACTCTCGACTTTACCAAGCACGATGCCCTTCTTCAGGGTCTGGTCCCTTCTGATAACATGTTCAATGAAGTCTCACCAGCCTCACTTCAAAGGAGCATTCTAGCTGTGCTTCTTCCAAGACAGATTTGTTTCTTCTTCTGACAGTCTGGCTTCTATTGTCCAGCTGGGCACTTCCATTGTGAGTAGAAGCCACTGTCAAGAAATCAAATGGTGAATTGTATTGGGAAAATCTGCTGCAAAAGACCTCTTTATACTGGACCACGTGGGTAGCGAGAAGGAGGAAGACCTTCCACAAGGTGAATGACACAGTGGCTGCAACAACGGGCTCAAACATAAGAACAATTGTGAGGCTGGCACAGGACCGGGCAGTGTTTCCTTCTGTTGTGCAGAAGGTCGCTATGGGTCACAACCGACTTGATGGCACCTGACAGCAACAAGGTGGCTTTGACCCAAGCCATGGCCTTTTCAGCTGTCCCTAACATTGACCGTAACAATGGGAATCACTGCCTGGGCTCCCTGGGAACCGTGTGTTGGCTTAGTCTCGTTTCTGTGCTGCTGGGTAACATCGTAGCCACAAGCAGCTACATGGCTCTTTCTCAGTCAGTGTTCAAGTCTGTGATGACCTGAGTGCTGTGTGAAAGCAGGTTTGCGGGGACAGGGTGACTATGTTTGTAAGATGCCATGCCAGTGCATATCAGGGTTTGTGTGACTCAGTCTGTACTGTGAGTGTGACTCTGTGGCTGACTGCCATCGTGTGAACCTGGGCCTTTACACCAAACCAAGCCAAACTCACTGCCATCGAGTCAATGCTGACTCATAGCGACCATCTAGGACAGGGTAGATCTGCCCCTGTGGGTTTCCGAGACTGGAACTGTTTGTGGGAGTAGAAAGCAGCCCTGTCTTTCTCCCTTGGAGCTGGCTGGTGGTTTCGAACTGCTGACCTTGTGGATCACAGGCCAATGCATAACCACTACACCACCTGGACTCCTTACACACGACCGGGAAATTGCCTCCTCACTCACAGCCATTTCTGAGACCAGGGCCTTGTGCTTCCTGTCCCAGTGTGACATGGTGTGACTGCCCCTGTCACTTCAGACTGTGTGCGATAGCCAGTCTGTTTTCCTGTGACACAGAGAGGTGCTCTGTGCCTCTGGGTATCAGCCCGTGTGACAGCATTGCTCTGGCGTGTCCAGGAACCTCATTCATGTGGCAGGGTAGGACTGTCTTAGGCTCTGGTTAGAGCCCTGAGCATTTGTCCCGCAGTGTAACTGGCTCCTTCTACTTGTCCCAGCAGGTAGACACAGAGATGTTAGTGTGTTAGTGTCATTGGGGTTGTGCCCCACCTCCCTATGATGGTGGGCGTCCCTGGGTGTAGGGGTGATGAGGCTATGTCTGCATGAGGGCAGAGACTGACCTCAGAAATTGTCCCATTGCATGAAGGCGACATACATAGATTTGTGTGACAGCAGCCATGAAGGTGTGCCTGGTCCCCAGGGGGTGTTGGGGCAAAGAAGGTGCCTTTACGTCCCAGTGGCTGCCTGTCCGGCTCCGGGGTTAGCGTTTTGTGGGCGCCCGCTGGCTTCACCATCCCATATCTGCAGGGGGTCCGGACCTGGGGGCTGTAGAGCTGCGCATCGAGGAGCTGCGACACCACTTCCGGGTCGAGCACGCAGTGGCAGAGGGCGCCAAGAATGTGCTGCGGCTTCTCAGCGCGGCCAAGGCCCCAGACCGCAAGGCGGTCAGTGAGGTGAGGACCAGGGCAACAGCAAGGACAGGACCATGCCAGGGGCGGGGCCTCTGAAAGCAGGTGGGTGGGTCCTGGGCGGGGCCTAAGTGAGGGGCAGGAGGCTGGTTGGGTGAGGGGCGGGACCTCCGCAAAGGGCGTGGCCCCAGCCTGGGGTGGACTCAGAAGGGTGGGGTTTAAGTCAGGGGCCAGCAGCTGCCAGGGGAAGGACTCTTGAATGCGCGCGGGGGTGAGGGTGGGGGGGCATTGCCTGAGAGCGGCCTCAGCGAGGGTCCTTGTGGGTAGATCCCTGCCTTTGAAGGAGCCTGGCATTAGGATCAAGATGGTTTAGGATCCAGGTTTCTAGGGAGAAGGAGCCTCGGGTGGGATTCAGCTGCTGTGGGTCAAGGCCTGGGGCTGCGCTTGGGGATGGGGTGTTCACTTCCCCCAGTCCAACTGCACCCCCCACCCGACCTCCCCGCCACAGGCTCAGGAGAAGCTCACCGAATCCAACCAGAAGCTCGGGCTGCTGCGGGAGGCGCTGGAGCGGCGCCTCGGGGAGCTGCCCGCCGACCACCCCAAGGGCAGGCTACTGCGGGAGGAACTCGCCGCAGCTTCGTCCGCCGCCTTCAGCGTCCGCCTGGCGGGGCCCTTCCCTGCCACGCACTACAGCACCCTGTGCAAGCCCGCCCCGCTCACAGGTGGCCTCAAACTCTGCCCATCTGACCTCCCACCCATGATTCCCCAGCTTGGGTAGCCAGGCACCCCCAGTTCGAAGTCCCTGTGTTTCCATCTGGGACGCCCACCGCCCACAGCCCTAGGTCACCACAACCCCTAGCCCACTGTAGGCCCTTCACTCGGCCCTCCCCTCCAACCTCTAGCGGTCGATGGCCTTTGCCTAGGTCACACCCTCTCGGTCTGCCGCCTCCTTGCCCTCCTCTAGCCCCCTCCAAACACCCCCCCTCCCTGCCTTGTTCCTTCAGCCCCAGTCCCATCCCTACCCCAACTCCGCTCTCAGAACCCCAGCCTTAGGCATCCAACCCAAACTTCTGAGCCCCTCTCACTCCCCCCCTTCTGACCCACGTCACTAACTCTGCCTCACCCACAGGAACTCTGGAGGTGCGTGTGGTAGGCTGCAGAGACCTCCCAGACACCATCCCCTGGAACCCCTCACCTTCGGCGGGGGCACCCGGAGCCTCCGACAGCCGCCCCCCCTTCCTGAGCCGCCCAGCCCGGGGGCTTTATAGCCGGAGCGGAAGCCTCAGTGGCCGGAGCAGCCTCAAAGCAGAAGCGGACAGCGCAGGTGCGTGGAGCATCACAGCGGGGTGGGGGGAGGTTCCCGAAGGACAGTCTGCATTGTAACACTTTCAAATGAAGGCACACGTTCAACAGTGTGTCTGTAAAGAAAGAGCAGCCAGAAACAGGACATTTGTCAGCGCCCCAGAAGCCCTTTGTCCGCATTCCTCAATTCTGCCCCAGAGGCAGCCTCTCCTCTGACCCAGGATTCTCCTTCCCTTGCTTCTCTGGGTAATTTTAGCGCCTGTGTATGCATCTGGGAACCCCCAAGAGTATGGGGTCGTTATGCCTGCTACACAGCATGGTCAGTGGATCTAACAGCTTTCATGCAGTGTTAAATGGTGTTGCCGGAAGCAATTGACTGCTCACTGTTACTGCTGTTCAACTTGTCTACTGGGTTAGATTGCGCCAGATCACAGGTTGGACAGCTTTAGGTTAAAGAGTTAATAGCATCCAGTTCACAGTCTACAGTGGATAAAATCATTCAATAGACGTTAGTGGGCTGTTTCTAGTTTGGGGCTCTTATATAAATATTACATGTGTGTCTCTTGCTGGACACTTGCATGCATTTTTCTCAACTAAATACTTAGAAGTGGATTTCTGGGACTTGCATGTAGAATAAAAATTAACTTGGATCCCTACCTCACACCACACACGTGCATACACAAATCAATTGGGAATCAAAAGACCAAACGAAGCAATTTTGATAAGATTCTATAGCTTCGTGTTCACAAAGTAGGAAGGATCTCTAATTAGGCAGACACAGGAACTCTCCATCCACATCATTTCACTTCTTAATGCCTACACCCCCTCCAGGTGAGGTCAGCACTGTGCTCAAGCTTGATAACGCAGTGGTGGGGCAAACGTCCTGGAAGCCGTGTGGCCCCAATGCCTGGGACCAGAGCTTCACCCTGGAGCTGGAGAGGGTAAGCTGAGTTAGGGGATGGCAGGTCTTACAGGAGGGGTTCCGGGCCTCAGGCACCCCAAGTGACTGTCCTCTTACTACCCCTCAAGGCACGGGAACTGGAGCTGGCTGTATTCTGGCGGGACCAGCGGGGCCTGTGTGCCCTCAAATTCCTGAAGCTGGAGGATTTCTTGGACAACGAGCGACACGAAGTGCAGCTGGACATGGAACCTCAGGGCTGCCTGGTGGCCGAGGTACAGCCCTGGCCCCGTCCTCCCCCAGCTGGTTCCTAGAACCTGCACTTTGCTAGAAAAAGCACATGTACTTCTCACACTAATCCCATAACTTCAGTTGTGACTGATAGTGTTCTGAGGTAGACATACAAACAACAAAGAAAAGAAAAAAAGGTGTTAAGGAGATTTTCATGGGAACTACAGACAAGCAGAGAGGGATTCTTTCTGCGGGGGTATTGGGATTAAAGCCTAAATCTAAACCTCCCCACCAAGGTGCAATAAACACTTGGGGCAACCGATTCCCTGTGGTGGGAGCCTCCCCTGCGCTGCAGGCTAGCAGCACCCTGTCCTCAGCCCACTAGAAGCCAGGAGCTTTCCTAACTCCCGATTGTAACAACCAAATGAGGTCCCCAGGCACTGCCAAATGTCCTCTGGTTGAGGACTCCTGACCTGTTGATATTTTTTATATGAACCACTAATAAACGATTTAAGAATAATAGTATCAGCTGACCCTTCACAGCACAAGCTAGGCGCTGTTCTCAGTCCTCATTCCTTTGCACAGCCCCCCCATAATCTGGGCTGTCAACTGAGGAGGAAACAAGCACAGGGAAGGAAAGGAACTGGTTCCTTCATTTAGCAAAATCCTTCTAGAAAATTCTTTAAATGCCCCCGCCACCCCAACATACACAGGCGCTCCATCTTATGTGTCTCCCTCTGACAACCCTACCCCTGTACAAAAGTGACCCCATCCTTGACTGAGAACCACTGAGAGAAAGGTCGCTGTTGCTGGTCAGTACCATGGAGTCGGCTCTGACTCAGCGTGACCCCATGCACAACAGAACAAAACACTGTCCGGACCTGGGGCTCCTCACAATGCTTCCGACGCCTGAGCCCATTGCTGCAGCCACGGTGTCCATCCAGCTCCTTGAGGGCCTGCCTCTTTTTTGCTGCCCCTCCCCCTTACCCAGCATGCTATCCTTCTCCAGGGACTGGACTGTTCTCTCCTGAGAACATGTCCCAAGTACGGGAGACGAAGCTTCACCATCCTGGCCTCTAAGGAGCACTCAGACTGTGCTTCTTCCAAGACAGACTTGTTTGTCCTGTTGGCAGTCCACGGTGATTTCCTTGTTCTTCTCCGGCACCACAGTTCAAATGCACCAGTAGTTCAGACCATCCTTATTCCATGTCCAGCTTTCCCATGCATATGAGGCAGTGAGAAAGAACAAGGCGCAAGTCTAACTTCAGATGGTGGGGCAGTGAGATTATCCCTCCGTCTCGGACACTATCCCACAGCAAGTGGGGAATGGAGGTAGGTGAGCCAGGGCACCAATTTAGCAGCATTCCCGTTAGCCCATAAACTTGATTTGTCACATCCTCTTTATTCTTGTGGGTCTACCACCTCGCCATCCAGTAGAACACTCCACAGATCAGTGGGAAACACTCGAGTTATCATTCTACTTAACACAATTCTTCATGTTTGCTGGACAATGACTAACAAGGGCCGAGGAAGAATGGATGCGTGTGAATTAGCAAAGAATATTAACCATACCAGCAGAACAGACCGAGTCTGTAAGGCCAGAAAGCTTCCTTGAGAGAGGATGGCCAGCGAGACATTATCTCATGGCTTTTGGACAAGTTATCAGGGGGACCAATCCCTAGAGAATGGCATCATGGTTGGTAAATTAAGGGGTCGTCCGAAAAGAAGGAGGTCTTCAACGAGGTAGATTGGCACAGTGGCTGCCACCATGGGTTCAAACATAGGAACGAGTGTGAGGATGGCATAGCAGCGGGCAGGGTTTGGCTCCGTTGGGCATTGGGTCGCTGCAAACTGGACCCCACTCAGTGACCTCGAAGAGCAGCAGTTCATCTCTCATTGTAGCACAGTTCTTTGGATGTCAACAGCCCCCCGCCCCC